GTCATAAACGGTCGGTGCTGAGGGGTCAAAGACCCAAAATTACAGCCCTCCCCAGTCACGCAGCGAAACCCAGGATAGCTTATCCTTTCCCAGCCACACGTCAATCCTGCACTTCTGACCACACACGGACCTCGGGTAGCCAGTCCGGCACTACTCACCCCTCCCCCAGTTTGCAGATGATGTCGAACACTTCCTCCGGCTGCCGCGCCAAGCTCTCCTCAGAGAGCTTCTTCAGCTCGCTGCAACAAACAGACAAACGTTGGTCAGAAACGGTCAGAAGCAGTCAGAAACATACGTCGGTCAGAAAACACTCGGTAGACTGAAAGAAGGACACAAACACGTTTTGAGCCTCACAGACACGAGGAGGGTGCGATAAATAGGTATACCAAGAAAGGTTTTCGAGGATAGCACTTGTAAACGGTAGCTACTGAAATTTCATATAACTTCGAGGCACCGCTAACATTTTTACAGATTAACTAGAAATTGCAGGTAATGCAAGGTCGAATTGGGTCATTGTGCCATATAATATTGTGTAGTAAATTCAAAACCAAAAATAGATCAGTGATCAATAAGAAACATAGTTGATGGATGAAACGAAAGGCGTGTAATGAAGACATAACAACATGCATACTTCATTCTGTCGCACTTTAGGGCGGATTTCAGATCCGTTGTGTATACGAACTGGCTATTGTTGACACTATCTTCGGCGAGAGAGAGACAGTTGATGTGGGCCGCGAGGGTTTTTACTACCTATCTGAGAGCAACAGGCTCAACATTTTACGACATTGCCTTTCACGTCTCACTCGAGGACTTCATATAAGGCGTCTCTTTGTCAGTTTTATGGGACAGTTAGCACGCCTCCAACGATTTCATTTAAGATTGCACACCTTCCCATTTCTTCAATAACGCATCTGAACGTCTATGGAAAAAGTTCGAGCCGCTTTTTTAAGACAAGACAGACATTTGCACAAACACTTCTAAACAATAGTTTCAAATGGCTGGCTGCCCATACAGTCCCACCATCCCAGCTGTGAACCCACCGGGGAAAATATCCCGCTGCAAGTGCGAGCCAGTCGAGACATATTTAAATTCCGTCTACGAGCTCAGCGGGCGAATTTCTTGCTCGCAGGTCTAAATGGGCATTAACCGCGTCTGTCAGCTTAACTATGCACCTACCCCATCTGCCAGCTTAACTACACACCCACCGCCTGTCAGCCCAGTTAAACACCTACATATCCTGCCGGCTGCCAGCCATCCTATCCCGTCCGACAGCCCATCCGCGGCGCATCTACCCCGCCTGCCGGTCCAATGTAACACCTACCCCGCCTGCTGGCCCACGTGGGCACCTAACCCGCCTGCCGGTCCACCTATGCGCCTATCCCGCTTGTCAGCCCAGTATAATACCTACCCCGCCTGCCAACCCAGGTATCTCGACTGTCAGCCCACCTGGGCACCTACCCCGCCTGCCAACCGAGCTATTTCGACTGTCAGCACATCTGGGCACCTACCCCGCCTGCCAGCCGAGTTTGCGGCGGCGCACGCTGCGCCGGAGCACCACCATGCCGTCGGAGTCTGCGGCGGTGTCCTGCCGCTCCGTACCGCCGCCGCCGTCACTCAGCACGGCCGCCACGGTGGCCGGCCTCCCCTCACGCACTGGACACCACGGCCCGACGGTCTGAACACTCAGCACTGGTGAGCCGGCTCGCACCCTCACACACCCGTCCCGGCGGCCTGCCGACCACCACTGAGCCGGCCAGCCGTCAGGAGTCCGGCGGTCAGATGTACACAACAGAGTAAAAACCGCGAGTAGGTCCGGTAAACCAATGGACGACGCGACGGTCAGAGGTGGGCACGCCAGCGGACAAAACCACGAGTACGGCAGGCCAGTGGAAGGTGAACTGGTCGCGCGTCGTGCCGCGCCCGGAGCGTAATCACAGGGAAGTCGGTACCGCCGCGGAGCCCCGCCGGTCGCCGAGTGCGGCCGCTCGCCGGATATGCGGCGCGATAGGGACGCAACGTCCGGCCGTGTCGATGCCCGGCCCCTCCGGACGCCACGCTTCCAGTAATGTGACGCCGCGCTACCCCCCGGAACACGAACCGACCGAGGTGCACAGCTCGTATCTTATCGATAGGATGCGGCATGACGAAGGGTCAGTTTTAGTTGGTGTGTCTTGAAAAGACAGAGTCGCAAGGCCAGTATCCGCACAACAGTATACGAACTTCTCGTGCGACCTCTGGCATCTGACCTGCATCGTCCGACCGTTTAACTGAGAATCGGCAGAATTTTCGAAAGCAGCCAAAATTATGCTGTACGGTCCGTGTATTTGCCTACCTAAAAAGGCACAGAATTTATTTTTCTAAAAAAAAAACACACACACACACACCATCCCTGTAAGCAGTTTCATCTATGTCCTATTGGAGCGACCCGAGCAGGCTGGGCTCTCAAAACCTTGAGTACAAGTTTCCACTGTCCAGTGTCCACGTCATGGATGGAACAGACACCTAATATGGCAATGGCCCAATCAAAACGAATCCACATGATAAATAATATGCAAAATATCAGTTTTCCATAAAAACAACTTAGGATAATTTAATACACAGAGAACTTTGAGGTCAGATCAAGTACCAATCCCATTGTAGGAGTCCGGTTTTCGGCAAATTACTTTTTTTAATAAATTTAGCCCGAACCTTTTGAATGGAAGGATTCACAAGGGCAGAGCCCCCACTAAGCGAAGCTTGTTGCGTTGGTCCTGCCCTCTACCCTCCGATCGTGCAATTCCGGTTCCATCGCAGAATTTGGAGTCCAAAGTTTAACGTGCGCACATAGCCGCGCACGGCCGGTCCCTCACTGACTTCGCCTGGCTGCGGCCTGCCACCAACCGCAACCATACCTGTAAGGAGGCTCGGCTCATAAACGTCAAGCGCCCGTCGCGCTTCGAGCCCGGACTGTTATAACCGGGAACGCGTGCTTTCGCGGAGTCCAACGCTCTCTATCTCTAACGTGTTCCGAGTAATCACGAGAAAACCATCGGGGAAGTGCCATCTGTGGCTGAATTAATATTTGACATCAATCATCATTCATTGTTCCTCAAAATGCTTCAAATTTGCCATTCTATCATGAGTAGCATCATACAAGAGCTTGCCTTTGACAAAGATGTGCTCTTTTATCGGAAAAAAAAAATTAATGGACTGTGGGCTGTGGTATCAGAAGGAACAGTGGCAGTATAAGACAGTGCACACTGCACACATTTTTACTTTGAAAAGCAGGTAGCTTTAAAATGAAAAACAATTGTCATTTTAAAACAGTTTAACTAGCAACTGAAACTCAAATTGTCCATCTACTCCTACAAAAGGCCAGGCTGAAGTCAAAGACACAATTGATAGCTAGCACAAAGCAGTGACTTTTCTCACATGCAACTAACCTCTTCACTCTTCAGGGTATCTATCATCCATGATATGCCTATGGGCTTATAAAGTTGCACTTGCATGCATGCTCAACTCAACCACATTTCACCTCCTGTGAGTGATAATTCAGTGTAAACCTAGACAAATGGTGCTATTGAAGCTACTTACCTGTCCTAACTATAGTCTCCTAGGATTCCATAGGTATCATCTAGCCCAACACAATTGTGTGTAAAAATGTCCAGGTCAGTAGGGGTTTGGGATCAAATGTTAAAAGAGAAGCTTCAAGCTACATGTTAATGCTTCTGCTTGAACCTTGTTAATTAATTTGACATGGCTTTGGCAAACATGTGTCAAGCATTCTCAACTGAGCTCTGAATGATGAGAGCTTGTAGTGGCATTACTGTATACCTATCAAGTCTCATTGATAATTATGCAAGCATCTGTTTATGTTATGGATGCAATGATAGTCTGATATAGGTACTAATATAAGTTACCCATTGGCCAAATTCAGCTCAGACTCCAGTGTTTCTTATTTGAATTAAGTGGTTCTAGTAATTTACCAACAGCCTCAATTATTTAACTGATTATCCTTATAGAAAATCAATAATTGTCAAGGACATACTTTTACCCACTAAAATTATTTGAAAGTAACTGAAAAAAAACTTAAAAGAAGACTAGGACAGACTGCGCTAGATTAGACATAGTTTATGATATTTGTCCAATTTGAACACTGCAGGCTTGCAGCCATGTATACTATTACTAATTATGAACGAGTGAAAAGGACAACTAACATTGGATCATGACAATGAATAACAACCCTCAGTCTTGTATCTATGATATCCAAAACCTTCAGCATGTACCTATAACCCATGCATATTATCATCTGAATTTCAACACCCATCAAAATATTAAAACCACGGCATTTGTGATTATTGATTGGGCTGTGGGCTGTGCTGATGGAACTTGTTGTCCATATTGAAAGAGGATCTTAACCATTAATCCAAAAAAGGTGAGAAAATGAATAGGATAACCAGGGCTGCATCCCTGATATATGAACTACAGCAGTTCGGAATGTAACCACTTACCTCGGCCATTTTGATTGAACAATCATACTCTAATTGATAGCCAATTGTAAGAATGAAATGGCATTTACTTACCCTTTGGATTTTCCCTTCTCAGACATGATGATTAAATGAAAACAAGCAGCAAAAGCGAAAACAGCTAAAAGCTGAAAATCTTTCAACAAAGGCTTAGTTCACATTGGCTTGCAATGACTGCATCTCAGTTCAACACTTCATAGCTGGCTCCAACGTCAACTTCAGCTCCGTCGGCCTCATGGAGTTCCAAGCTGACATTTCCCTGGCTAATTATTTCAAATAAATGTATTCACATGGCAATTAACGACTGAAAACAATGAAACCCGCTGCGCAATGTCTTATCATATTCCCACACAATGCAAATCTCCTCCGAAACAAGTAAAATTGTTTGTCTCAGTGCGGTGTGTTTGTCGCATCATTTATTTCCTTCTTGATTAATTTTACAAATAACTTGCAAAGTTTTGTAGCAAAAAATCTTTTACCGGTATATTTCATGTTGCAGTTTTTATTTTTGAGTTTCAAAGATCAAATTTCTTTTTAAGTATTAAATCTTGATAAGATATTTTCTAGTTTTCAGCACGTTTTCAGTACACTTGGTTTAGTAAACATGGCGGCCTCCATGGCTGTGACATGTCGTAGCTCGGCTCTGAGGCTAAATTTATTCAAAAAGGGGATAAATAGTCGGTGTTTTGCTACAAGTTCCTCTAATAATGTCAGTGATGTCAAGCAGGCTGGAGAAACTGAAGCCGAGTATCCTCCCGTGCTGGATACGTCATTCAAAGCTACTAAAGATCGCGAAACCCAGCAATGGCACAAGCTCATCCAAAGCCTTCCAACAGTTCAGGAGAAACAACTTGAACTGAACATGTCAAGATATTATGGACACTGGGCTTGTCAGCTCTCTCCTCATGATGTGCATTACAACCATGCAGAATTTATCCAGTTTGCAACCAGGACAAATGTTGTGGAAGCATGGCCAAATGTTTACTCTACTCTTGATGATGAAGTGAATAAGTTCCTCCCTGTCCTGAAGAAAAAGGTTGAGGATATTCTTCTATTGGAGCTTTGCCATAGGTAATGCCATTAATTACAAACACATTGTGTTGTTAGTTAATGTTTGTAGGTATGCTTATTGGAAGGGACTAGGGAGCTAATCAGACAAATAATGGAGGCGTAATGCTAAAGCAAAGACAATTGAAGCATGTTGATGTGCAAATAAGCACAAGGATGCTACGCAATACCAATGCTTTAAAAAATTTTTACTTAAACTTAACAAGGAAGTGGTCAGCTTGCCAGCTTGCTACAACACATTGTTGTAATGCTGGAAGGAGCTTTAGGTACCTGCCTAACTCTTCACTGGTTAATCTGTCTCCAGGCCAAAAGTAGACAGAGTTGAAAGCCGGCAGCAGAAGGAGACCAGTGACAACATCATCTGGGCGATCAACCATGCTCTGGTCAGCCTGCTGAGTGATCAGACAGACCACATAGCTGACTCACAGGTAACCAATCCATGACTGCTCTTTATGTACCTACAAACTTGGTAGTCAACACAGTTTCAGTTCCAGGTATTACTATTTTTTAACATGAATGATTCTTCTAATTCTGCACTGTGGTATGACTTACTTCTAAGGTCTTCCCTCATCACAAACATGTTCATTATGTCATTTGGGTCTGCAATTATAGACTGCACACTGGAATATCTTTTGATATTAATGCCTCATTTGCCCAATAAAATCTTCATATGCTTAGAGTGGGTCTATTTGCAAATGTGGTACAAATGCTAAGCACATGATGACATCAGATGCCAACCCTTTTCACAACATTCCCCATTTAGTATTAATATTAATTGAGAACTATGTGGTTAATCATTGGGTGTTGAACCCCACGCAAGTAATCACGGACATTCGGTCGCTAATCAGTGATGAAAGCGCTGCATTGCGGTGCTTGTATGTAACGATAGAGGTCGGGTGAATTTCATGATTTGAGGAAAAAGTTTGTATATATTAAGCACGGAGGATATAAGTAGGTACGTTGGCACGCAAATGTACGTATTCGATAAAGTACTATGAGGGCAACCGGCAAGCTTTTATTGCATAACCGTCGGTCCGTCGCCCGTATAGGGGGTGGGGGTGGGGGGTTCGAACGGTCGAACGGAACCCCCCTCGGTTTTTCGCGAATAACTCGCGTAAAAAGCGGCCGATTGCGACTTTCATTCCCCTCGAGTTGATCAATTTTACACCTACCCGGAAAATTTCACGACCCTGGCCCAAATGACCTTTGACCTGTGACCTACTTTTCGAGACCATGTTTAGCCGGAATCGCGATTCGGCGTATGTCGGCTCGCTGATTAGCCGCACGTTTGTAGTCTTTTCGTGGTTTAAAGCGTTGAAACATGTGATATGATGTTGCTCCCTTGCATTAGGGTGGGTGGCAAGGTCACCTGAAGGTCAGGTCAGGTCGTTGACCTTTGATGACCTCGGCTCACTTTTTCAAGTTTTACATGTTTCTAGGCCAGTTTTTGGAACTTAAGTCGAATTTAGCAACCATATGAACAGCTACGAAGTAGTTTTGTTGCCTTTGTAACATGTTACGAAGCTGTCAGAGGCGGTTGACACCTACTACGAATATCCGGCAGGACCCCTGCTTGTACTGGTTGACCTGACCTGACCTGACCCGACCTGGCCTAAATGCATGAAGACATCATCTGTGATCAAAACCAACATGATATTCGTGATCAGCACCCCGAGAAAAACCATTGCAGCCACAGTTTACGGCGTTCTAACAGGTCCCGATTTCCCCGACCTTTGGGTCATTGACCTGGTCTGGAAGGTCAACGAATGACCTAGGACCTTTAAATTGGGTATCATTGTCTTCCTCTCGTAACGGGAAACACGCTCGTTTTTTCCACGAAGCTCTAGCTCGGTCAGGGGCGAAATGGCAAGGAGGTCCAACGGACCCCCCCCCCCTTATATGTTCGCGGCTGGAAAAATACCAATACGGGCGAGGGTTAAACCTGACCTGACCTAACCTGACCTAACCTAGCTAAACCTTGCATAAACTAGAGTAAACCATCTTATGCTTTTGTCCCTCTATAGGAGCATGTTTACTTATGAAAAAGTTCCCTATGTGTGCATCGCGCATCCATCCTCACCAGTCACCATCCTCGGAACAAGCCCACCTCAACCCCTCACTCTTCCATTCCCGGCCTGGCGGTCAATTCCACCAGACAACCGGTAGATGAGGTCTGGTCCATTCCGTCCCCACCAGAACCGTGAATACCTCTCCGAGGTGACCGTTTGAGCGGAGGGGCGAACTGGTCGATCGGGACTGTCCTTTCCCACCGGGACGGTCTTGTCTGCGCGGCTGACTGTCGGTGGCCCGCATAGCCCAATTTCTACGCCTGACCCTATTATCCTACAGCTCTGCAGTGACCTTTTCAGTCCTATAGAGCTTGTTCCCAACAAAATAATCAAACAAAAAATCCCGATGAACGAACTTTTGACTTGCGAATAATAGCGATAAGCACTTTTGAGTTTTATCCTACGTAAGTATATTTGCTTACGTTTTGAGGTACATTTGTCATATGTGCGAACATTTGCGGTCCGAACTTTCGTCCGCTGTGGGCAAACTAAAGTTTGTGGGCAGGTAACGATAACACCTACTGACATCAAGAGCTGCTGCCAGATGAAAATGTCATAGAATTGCAATGCTGCATTTCTTTAAACTAGGTACGCACGGAGTATCGTAGCACACTACTCCTCAACGGTAACGTGATACCTACGCTTATCTTGTTGTTGGTTCAGAGACATCATCTTACTCATAGTCTGCCCCCTTCCCTCCCCTCTCACTGACCCCCCTCACCCTCTCTCCTCAGTCGGACCTGTCGCCGCGGCTGGAGGCCTTCTGGTGGCTGAGCGACGTCCCGGCCGACAGTCGTCAGCGGCACGTGCGCTCGTTTCGCCGGCACATCCCCGAGGAGGAGCGCAACGACCCGGTGTCGCGGCCGGTCCAGTACGTGGGCCAGCCGGCGCTGCTGGTGCGCGGCCGTCTGCCGCTGCCCGCGCTGGCCGGCGAGGGGGATCCGGTGGGACACCAGCCGCCGCCACTGGAGATGAACAGCCGCGAGCCGCGCACCCGACAGTGCGCCTACAAGTTCCGGCACGGCACCAACATACCCGGTCAGCTGACGTATCTTTTGACGCTTTGTTTGCTTATGTTCTGTTATAGCCATTACAAAGTTCCTCTCCCCTCTATATTTTGTGGGGTGATGGTTAATTTTATTGCACTTTACAGTTGGTTCAGCCGTGGAGTTGCGTTTAACCTTGTTGTCATTGTCTAACAGCTATATGTTGCCAGATTCGAGTACTCCTGGCACTGCTGTCGGCTACCGTTGACCGCTGGTCACTATGTCCGGCAGGCGTGTGGCCGGAGGACGGCCGCCAGTTCGGCCTGGTCAACTGGCTGACCCGGGAACACCTGGTGCGACACGCCACCAAATACGGCCAGCACGCCGCAGCCGACCGGCCCGACGCCCTGCGCGCTCAGGCTTGTCTCAGCGGCTTCGCGTCATGCCTCTCGCAGGCGTGCGGCGTGGGCTTCTCGCCGCTGACAGAACTCACGTACCCGCTGACGACACAGACGGTGATCACTGACGGTCGCACCTGGACCTTCTCGGCGTTTCAGCTGAACACCACCGGCGCGCTGCTGACGCCGGCCGAGCACGGCGCGCCCGGGAACACGTGCTGGGTGCTGCCGGAGATGCAGCTGTACCAGAGCGTCACAGAAAAGGGGGTGAGTGGCGCTGAATAGAGCTGTACCGGGCCACCGGCAGGCGACCACCGTTTGAGTGCCGCCGACTATTAGCACCGAACTTGGTGGTACATCCGCTGCGCTTTCGCTGTCTTACTAACATTTTTCCGTCGAATGCGGTGCCGGCAACCGTTCTAGCCCCAACTGACCCTGCCCGACTCCTGCTCTCCCACAGGTGGAAGGGCTCAACGACGAGGTGTTGAAGCGTCTGCTTCAGCTGTACCTGCTGCCGACCGGTGACCGAGACGGCATCGAGCTGCGACCCTACCTGGACCCAGAGCGGAGTCTCGGTAAGGAGGGCGGCTTAGCCCGCCCACAAAGGCAAAACCTACAATGTTCAGGTGACCTCTGTCCTGAGGTAATGGCCTCTGACCGCACATAGTAGTTTTTGCCTATGCACGGCACTGCGCAATGGCGAATCAAAATGCCACCACTCTTATTTACAGCTATGTTGGAACTTCGAAGGATTAGCGCCAGCTAATGTTAGCGTTTACCCAGACTGCAGTGCTGTCGTTGTTAATATCTGTGTGTGTTTGTGTGCTGGTTTGTTTATTTTTTGTTTGTCTCTTTGATACACCTCTCGGGATTCCAGCAGACGCGGTGGAGGACGATTGGCTGCGCAACAAGTACCTGCAGACCTACTTCCACATCATGTCGTGCCGGCCCCGCAGCCGGCTCAAGGATGAGGTCTACATGTGGGAGAAGATCTACAAGGTCCAGTTCCAGACCCGGCCGATGGAGGCGCGCAAACGTTTCTTCGAGCTCAACAAGTATCCGGACATGAGGAGGTGAGCAGCGTGCGCACGCTGGCTCTGGCTGACCGGTCTCAATCGGCAGCGTTTGTGGAAATGGTTGAAATCACATCAAAATGTCTGCGTTCCATTCCACTGACAGTTCTAAAGACTGGCTATCTCAATGCGCCCGATTAAAATCTTCCTTTCTGCTGAGAAGTGTTCCACATCGTTCTTTTCTCTTCTTACGACCCCAAGGAGTTGTTCCCTTGCCATCATTGTAGGCACGTATTACGTAAAGCATGCTAAAGCGTGGCCTGTTTCCATTGTTGATCTCTAATGTGCTTTTAACTGTTAATTCGTTAGTTCTTGCTTTTAACTGTTAGTTCGTGCTTTTTCAGCGATTGGTACGGTGAATTTTTCTCATTGTCGGTCTCCTCCCATATTGCCCCCGACGGTACGATGACACAGGTGTCTCCTCCGTCGCCAGGCTGGACGATTTCTACCCGGGCTACATCCCGCGCGCCCTGAGGCAGAACTTCGTCCCCGCTCGGTTTAAGGCGGCCTCCAAACACGAGAAGAACGTATTCCACGAGATGGGCCGGCTGCGGGGACACCGCAACACGGACCCCAAGTTTCTGCAGGAGCTCCAAGAGCTGGAGAGCTGGAGGGACGAGAAAGACAAGTAGATGTGAGGGAGAGCCAGTGTGGGAGTGGATGTGAGTCTGGCACGGGCTGGTGTGAGCTCAACACGGGTCTGAGGCCGGCATGGACTGGTGTGCTTGGCCACAGGTCGCCAGTGCCGAATTATGACCGAGTCAGAACGTGTATGAATGACGTTATTATTCGTAAATGAGGACAGTATGAGAGGACGTGAGTGTAGGTGGCGCTTGTGATCCCTCGGCTTTGCTCGCCAAGGGTCGAAAAGTCGAGCAATACATCCATATCGAACATCACGACGGTATATTGAAGCGACGAGATCATCTGAGACACGCACATCCGTGGCCACACAGTAGACATCTTTATCATCACAGGAAGGCTCGTATCGCACTGCTGTACCACGACAGCACCATCTCGGTCCCCTGTCCTCAAACACTCCCGCTGAAGACCGCTCAGCGGTGGCAGGATATATCTTTGGTTCACCCAGGCCAGTCGCCGGGATCAGGCGAGGCCCGGGGGCGCCGCGTCAGCCTTCGTCACGCTCCTCGAGACTCGGCTGGCCGCAGTCGACCCGCTGTCGCAGCTTGGCGATAACCTGTGGACGTGATAGAGGGGCGTTACGGCGGACTCGGTGGCACCTGTGTGTCGGGACATGCTCAACAGCGAACGCTGCGAAACTATATGTGAAAAATGTCACCAGGTTAAATGTGATTGGAGAGGAAACAAAACATTTAGGGAAAGAGATTGCAACCCCGCACACCCTCTTATCTCGTTAAATGACAGAATAAAAGTCTGTCACGTTTTCTGATTCTTTCCTTGTCGCGCTGTTAGCCCTAGCGGCTGACCCGCGGCGCCAGCGACCTCTAGGTTGCGTGCCTAGCCGACTGGTCATCCCAGCGCGGCCCCATTCCGTACGTTTTTGAGTCGGGTGATCTCCTTATTGTCGGCGTTGCGGGCGGCCGAGTTGGTGATCTGTTTGACCCGCGAGGCGTACTGCAGCGAGGTCAGCGTCTCGTCCAGGTTGTACTGCGCCGGGGAGATGTTGACGAACATCAGCGTCTTGGCGTTGCCGCCCAGACTGTCCTGCATCAGCATCGTCAGCTTGCTGTTCCTGTGGACCACAGAGGGACGGCGAGGTTCAGTTCTGATCTCTCAACTTCTCATTGATTACCAGCGTACGGCGCAAGTGACGGAAGCACTACGCCACCAAGATAAAAGAGACGTTTGTGTGCAGTAACGACGGCTGTTGCTCGCCCCAGCCTACCTGTAAGGCACGAAGCTCTGTTCGGCCGCCAGTGACGAGATGACGTCCGCCAGGGCCGAGAGCGACTTGTTGATGGCGTTGGCCTCCCGCAGCTGGTCGGCGTCGGCGCCCGACTTGGCGGCCCGCTCGCTGCCGGCCAGGTCCAGCAGGCTCAGCTTGCCGCGCGTCACGGCGCCGTTGACGCGGCTGGTGGCCTCCACAGTGACGCCTATGACCAGGTGAGAGCGGGAGCTGGCCGCGTTCATGCGCGTGGCGCCGGTGCGCCGGGCGCCGACGGCGCGCTCAAACAGCAGCTGTAGGTGGGCGGCGTCTTGGCAGGGCAGCAGCGCGGCGCCCGAGACCACCACCGTGCCGCGGCGGTCCTTCTTCACCTGGCAAGAGGGGGCGGGGACAGGGTTAGACAGCGGATAGACGGCCTGTTTATTCAAAGGGAGAAAGACGCTGGGGTGAGGTTGGGTCGGTCTTTGCAATGGAAAGTCAGATGGCGTAAGTTGTCACGTTGGATTTTGGAAGGTCCCCTAACAATGGCAAAAAATGTCTGACGAGACGGTCGGCAATCGTCGAGTTTGGAAAGCGCGTAATTCCTAGTGGCTCCGATTTGCTTCCTTCTTGGTAGGAATTCTCGACGGTTGTCTGCTTACGCGATGTGACGGGCGATCCCCGCTACGGTTCATCGCCACTTTCACTTCGATAGCACAGTTCTCGATATTTATGGCTGAATGAGTATTTCCCACCACCAATCACACAAATCACGCAGGGCTGTCTGTTGTGGTGTACCGCCTGACTGACACCTCTCCACCCCGCCCCGCCCGCCCCACCCACATGACCCACCTCGAGTTTCTCGTCTGTGCGCGCTCCGGCCGGCGCCAGCAGGTCGACCAGCCGGTCGTTGTACAGCTCCAGCATGTAGGTGCTGATGGCGCAGCTGGTCTGCGCCGCGCGCGCCTGGGCCAGCTCGAAGAGCCGCCGGAAGGCGCGCGGCGCCACGCCCGGCGCCTGCTCGTCTCCCAGCAGCGTGTGCGTCTTCCCGGAGCCGGTCTGGCCGTAGGCGCAGATACAGACGTTGTAGCCGTCCATACTCGACTGGACCAGGGACTGCCGGCGGGGAATGGAGTATGGTGTCAGTCAGTACCGACTGTCGGAGATAGCTAAGACTGGGAACATCAGTCTGCGCCAAAGGCTGCCATCTGGCGACAGTCATCTGACAAGGCATTGGAACGATTTAAGTTATAAATCCAGAAACGATTGACATACATGAAGCGCATTTGCTTTGCTGATAAGTCTGTATCGTCGTCTCACCTCGACCTCGTCGAAGATGCGCTGCTGGCTGGTGTCCTCGGTGAAGACGCGGTCGAACTGGAACTCCCGCTGTCCCTTGTCGCCGCCCACACAGAGCGTGTACGGGTCGGCGCAGTCGATGGGCGCCGCGCCGCCCTGGCGCCGCTCGGGCTCGCTCAGCGGCCGCAGCCGGCAGAACACCCGGATGCGGCCCTTGAGCTCCTCCATCTGGTTGAAGTACTGTTTGCGCAGCGTGCGCTCGCGCTGCAGCGAGTCGGCCAGCAGCCGGCGCTCCTCCTGAAGCCGGCCCAGCTCCGACTCGCAGTCGCTGAGCCGCACCAGGCGGCTGCTGTGCTCGGCCTCCTGGCGCAGCACGCGGCTCAGGTCGTCCTTCAGACGGGTGTTCTCCTCCTGCAGCGTCTCCAGGTCCAGTTTCAGCACGGTCAGCTCCTCCTGCCTGGAGGCCAGGTAACGCTCGGTGGTCTCGCGCCGGCTGAGGCTCTCCTCGAGCCGCGCCTCCAGCGCGCGCAGCTGGGCAGAGTCGGCGCGCAGCTGCTCCAGCTCGTTACGCTGGTTGTGCAGCTGCGTCTCGAGCTCGCCGATGCGCCGCTGCTGCTCGGCGTCGTGCTCGGAGCCGCCTCTCCGCCCTCCAACACCGGCCCCTGAGTCGGAGCCGGCTGCGGGGCGCCGCCCGCCCGCCGGCGGCTGCTGGTCCAGCCGGAACTGCACGCCAGAGCTGCTCAGCTGCTGCGTGAACTCGGACAGTTTCGACTTGAGTGAGAAGTTCTGCAGCGTCAGCTCGTCCCGCACCCGCTCCAACTGCACCTGCAACAAGAGGCCCGGGCAGTAGGTGTGGCCGGGCACCGTCCTGGGCGATGTGCGTCTCGGAGTAACTGCTGTCTAAACATCCAAAACACAGAAAGAGAATGCAAATAAAGAACATTCGACATAGTTGGAGTTGCGCTCGCCTGTCACCTAGAGTCCATTGACACAACCCCACTCTTACCACGCTGCTCTGGAGCCGGGAGATCTCTCGGGCCGGGTCGAGCGGGATGTTGTCGAGCCGCGCTCTCTCCAGCTGCAGTACACGGCCGCGCAGCTGGGCGATGGTCATCTCACGGAGTTTGAGCTCGTCCAGCAGTCGGTCAGAGCTGGCCAGCGAGGCCAGCGTCTCCAGCGAGCCGGTCAGACTGCCCTCCGAGCCGCCGTGCAGCGAATCCGGCTGGCTGGTCATCCGCTGCTGCCGGCCGCTCGAGTCATACGACCTGCTGGGGCGCAGTGGGGAGGTTCAGGGTGAGTCTACAGTCATAATCAGCACACGCGGATGCATGGAATCAGTCCGGTCCACGCCCCGGAGGTTACTCCACAGACACGAGTGAGGGATGCGATCGTCCAGCAGATACGCTCTGGGGTAGAGGGGGAGGGAGGGAGGGAGGGAGGGAGGGAGGGAGGGAGGGAGGGAGGGAGAGGGAGAGGGAGAGGGAGAGGGAGAGGGAGAGAGAGAGAGAGAGAGAGAGAGAGAGAGAGAGAGAGAGAGAGAGAGAGAGAGAAAGAGAGAGAGAGAGAGAGAGAGAGAGAGAGAGAGAGAGAGAGAGAGAGAGAGAGAGAGAGAGAGAGAGAGAGAGAGAGAGAGAGAGAGAGAGAGAGGAGGAGAGTCTGCGGTAGGTATTGCATGACATAATAACTGTCTTGTTTCTCATCGTTCAGGGAAACTCCGCAATGACCTTGCAATAACACTGGGCAGAGAAGCACCTTGCCGCAAGTACTGTCTGTCAAACGCTCCTTGTGGTCACTGTGGGAACCAGAGAGGTGACCGCAGCGCTCCGTCGGAGCGGCTCTGAGCAGCTCGAGTCTGTCCGTCTGCGGCTGTCGGGACGGCGCGCAACAGGTGGCCGTTGAGCGAGGCCTTGTGAGGTGAGCCCCGGGCCATTCCAACATCCGCCCAATAACCTCTGCAATGTCACTGCGCGCAGACAGCGGAACGGGCGAAGGCTGACGATTGGGCCGCCGTTCCGGTGGCAGGACTCTGCAGGAGTCGCGTGTCTCTGTAAGTAGACAGTGTGTTCGACTTTGTGCTCAGCACCTACCCGTTCCCGCCGTCTCAAAGTCTCGCGTGACACAGGGTCACCACAGTCACACTGTGTGGCGTTCTCCATTGTCTAACCGAGCCGTCACAGTACATACGCCGAGAACGCTATAGATTGAACCTATCTATCATCCATGAGCAGTTCACGCGAGCTGATGGCTTTGAAAGAACGTTAATAGTGCACCGACTATACAACAGGCGAGTGAAGTCAGTGGCTTCACTCCACGGACCGGCACGAATAGTACACTTTCACCTTATTACATAGGGAGGGCGTAAGTCTAGCGTGGCCGGCGCGCAGGGAGTGATACCATTGCGTCGGTCGTCCACGGCCTTTGAATGACTGATGAAAGTGAATTGTGTTGGAGATTCGTGATAGTAGTCAGAAAATGAAGACGTCACAATTGACTTGGATGTTATGGCTGTTCTGCGTATAGCAGTCACGACTGGTTTGAAGCTGTTCCCTTACTAACCTGCGACTGTCTTCTGATCTGGCGCCGTCCTCTAACTGAACTGACTCCGTCGTCTGACTGACCTGGCGTTGTTCTGGAGCAGCTGCAGCTGCCGGCGGGTCTTTCTGTGCGCGCACCGCTCCAGGTGCAGCAGGACGGCCGGCTCCAGCTCCGCCGGGTGCGGGGAGCAGGGCGCCGCGCGGCGGCCAGAGGTCGGCTCCGGCCCCTCCGACAGCACCGTGCGCATCGCCTCCAGACTGTCGGGCTCGTGGCCGTCCGTGCCCGAGTCGTGCTGAGAGCCGCCTGCAGGCGGACGGAGGGAGACGGGGTGGTGTCAATGGCCACAGATACACGGACAGTGCCAAAGGGATACGAGATGCGGCAAACGGTATAACGCATGTGCATTGTGCAGTGTGCACAGAAGGAAATAGCCAATCACAAAGGCGTATTGAGTGAAGGGATATGATATAATTACACAAGACAGACAAAACATTGTTGATCGCCGCTACCGTCGTGCTCTGATAGAATCGGGACTGACGGTAGACAAGCCATCAGACAAAGCGTTTTTAGTCAATAGCTGTTGATGATGATGCCTAGTGGCACCTGACTCTGGCTGAGTGCCGTGACAGCCCCCCGTGACAGCCCGCCGTGACAGCGAGCTGTCACCGTGATTGTTTGCCCCGTGCCTGTCGTCATCCGACCGCAGGTCCGGCAATAACCAGCCGTGTGCGTCGGGCAGCTAACGGCGCGTGGGTTACCCCATCGGACGAGTGAGTCAGCTCAGCCGCAGGTGACGGGTGATTCATGGCTGGGCTGAGAGCAGACCGTGAACAGAGTACCATCCGGCCACGCCTCGCCGCCGCCGGCGCCCTATGTCACGGACTGCTGCCGTGTCACGGACTGACGTCACGGACTGCTGCTGTGTCACGGACTACCGCCGAGTCACGGACTGACTCCGTGTCACGGACTGCCACTGTGCCAACTAAGGTCGTGGCAGGTTCACGTACTGTCACGGACTGCCACCGTGGCTGATGTCACGGACTGGCGCCATATCACGGACTGAGGCCGTGTCACGGAGTGACGCCGTGTCACGGAGTGTCGTCGTGTCACGGACTGAAGCCGTGTCCGTTACGGTCCAAGGCGGACATGAGGACAGGTGGCGCCGCCGCCACTCGCATAGCGGCGGGAATGTGAACTAACCTGTTTACCATAAGGCCGCTGTGCTAACGGCCGCTGCGGGCGCCGTTTCGGGCTAGTTTTGACTTTGTACCGCAATTAATGGTTTATTTATAATAAAAAATGGACTAGCGAGAGTCGTGCCGGAATCAGAATTCAATGTTCTACAAAACTAAGCCATTTTCATTGTGATCACGTCATCGACTTCACCGCCCAACCCAATAAAGCAGAAATATGTCGTGTCACCGGTGATTACACGCAAAAATTCTTTGGCATATAGCCTAAAACCAGAACACCTTTGACTGCAGCGACTATGCGGTACTACAGAAAATTGTATGGCCTACCTAATGGTGCCCATTACTTAATAATTAAGCTGAGTATTTCGTCGCCTAACTCTTGTAAAACCGTATGTCCGCTTGTCTATGGAGTTTGGACCGTAACGCACGGAGTGACGCCGTGTCACGGACTGAAGCCGTGTCACGGACTGCCACCGATTCACCGACTGCCGCCATGTTACCGACTAGCATAATGTCACGGACTGCCACAGTGTCACAGTGTCACCGACTGCAGCCGTGTTACGGACTATCACCGTATTGCTGGATACCACCATCTCAAGTATCACGGACAGCCACCGTGACGACCTGTCATGAACTTCTGCCCGCTGCCGTGACAGGTGCCACAGGCATGCCCACACAAAAATACCATACCATCTCATCGATCTCATGGACCGGCTCGAAACGCTTTCGTGAAGACGTCGCAGGAATAACGGGTATTTCGTGAAGTCACGAGAGGTCAGCCTGCTCGCGGGGTCCGTTCGCGTGAGCCTTATGATGGTGATTAGACTGCCGGAGCATACTTGCCACACGCTGTCACACCTGCGGATGATCCAAGTATTGATTCTGCTCTGACGTATTCCTTTGATCCGAAATAGTATGATTAGCGAGCGCATGCACGGACGGATATCCGCTCCCGGGGACTACTTCCAGGTAACGTAAGCCGGAGACTGAATATTTGCAGTGTTACAGAAGGAAATCAATAGTCTCACAGCCAATGAAGCTCACCCAGGACAAGAAATGTGGAGTATTCCGCTGGCATGTGCGGTGAGTTAGACGCCGCCCGCGCACTTCCAGCCACCCCAAGTCGCTCCGAGCCGTCCTTGAGAAGCTCTGAGTCGCTCGGTTCAAGCCGCCTCAAGTCGCCCCAAGCCGCTTCGAGCCGCTTCCGAGCCGCTCCGAGCCGCCTCCGAGCCACTCCGAGCCGCCCCGAGTCACTCCTGCTTGCACAGCGTTCCTTATTGCCACCGGATCACTGCCAGATTTTGAGGCGACAGGAACATGTATGGTTTCGTTTCGCCATGGAAGCTGGCGTCGATGGGAAAACTGACAGCTACCGAATGCTGCAGTTTAGGTGGACTCTTGACGATCAGGTGGCGACTCTCACCGGGGCGGCTGCCACAGGTCATCAGTGGCTCCGGATGACTCTCACAGTTCACCAGCGGCTCGGGATGACTCTCACAGTTTATCAGCGGTCTGACATTACTCTCACAGTCTCACAGTTCTCTAGAGGTTCGAGATGACTCACAGTCTCACAATTCACCGGTAAGCTGTGAGGTGACTCACAGTTCATCAGTAGCCCGAGATGACTCTCACGGTTCACCAGCAGTTCGAGATGACTCTCACAGTCTCTCACAGTTGACCAGTGATCCGGAGCGGCCCTCGCTCGACCGGAGCGGGAACGGTGTCGGGGTCAGTGACGTCGTCACAGCTCGCCATCCAACCAGCACGGACGACGCTGGATGCCGACTGGAAGAGCGGCGCCGATGGCCACTCGCAGGACACCAGAGCACAACCTGAGCACTGTCGACTGCAATATCAACTGAAACGGCCCGCCCGGCGGCCGGCCAAGACTGACACACGCAGACGGCTGTCAGCCGGGCATCGGCGTGTCACAGCAGCGCATCTAGAGCGTCAAAAACGCCGCACCGTGTCCTAAGCGGCGCGCTCGCTGCCGCTCTCTCCGTGGCAGCATCAAGTGCATCGGAGCATCACCTAACCGTGCCGGTGAGTGCCGGTGTGCCTCACCGGGCGGGACTGAGCACCAGCACACAGAGGTGCAGAATGCCGAAGGAGTGGTATGGTATCTCAGGAGCACCATGATGACGGCTGCAGCAGCGACAGCTGGGTGACCTCAAGATGGATCGCTCGGCATACGATCGCGCTAGGTAGTCGAGTCTATCGAGCTCCGCACACCCGTCAACAGCCGCCCGCTAGTACGGACGGATCGGCTCAGACGTAACAGGTGCGGTATCATTAATCCGAGAAACGCATGGGTTAATTATGTGGTTTACAGGGGACGTTGACATTCTGATCGGATTCAGTAACGTGAGGCATTTCCTCCCTGAGTGAGCACCGCCCACAATCGCTAGTACCTACTCGGATCAGCTCACGAGTTATGCCTACCGTATCGCGGTTTATCTCATCGATATCAATGCCATTGTGTTTATAATCACAGCCACATAATGCCCAACAGGATGAGTGTCTGCTGACATAATACCCACTCCACCAGCCACTACAAAGTGCCAGCTGCCATGACCGCCCAGCGTCACACAGTCCGGCGCCGCGCCACACCTGTCGCTCCGGAAACCATTAGCCAAGATCCCGGCGAGCCGCCGTGCGGAACCGGCGCGCGGTCCAGGTATTTTATCGAGGCACCGACCTCGCCAATCGGCGTGTCGCCGCTGTCTCAGCGGAGCGGACCGTGTCCCGGAAACGATCAGTGGGAGGGGAGCCGCGCGGCTCGGGCCGACCACCTACCGTGCGTGGGCCGCGGCAGCGAGCGCTGCACCGCCTCCAGCACCTGGATCTGGCCCTCCAGCGAGCTGAGCACAGAGTCCAGGTGCGACACCTGCGAGTAGAGCGATTCCAGCAGCTCTGGCCTGCGAGGAGGGGGGGGGGGGGGGGTACGGGTCAGACGACGGGGCGCTCAAACGACAGAAAGATAACGCACACATGCACATTGCACAGTGCACTCAAATATGGCAATAGTAGAACACCATCTGCAATTTAATCAGACCGTTTACATTATGAGTTCCTATAATGCGAATCCAGAAAACGCTTACTGAGCGACTGATTAAATTTAACTTATGTTTACGACATTCATTACTTGTCATTTAATTATGCATAATTATGCATCGGCTGATTGCGAATATATTGGTGATTTTAAAAGCAAACGTTTAAATTGGTCCCATTTAAATCCCGTTTAACTAAGCGTTCACAATACTCGTATGACGCGCTTTATTGCGTTATTGAATGCAAACTTCGCCACAAATAAACGTTTCCGGTGACCTCGGGTCGTGTCGGTTCCCGTCTATCGGGCGCTGTATTATATAAAATCAATTCATGGAGCACAAGAGTCAGATTACAACAGGGATATGATGACAGCGAAAACGGGGACAAAGGATGCAGCTAATGGCCCAGAGGGTAACATGTGGAGGAGAGTAAGAGAGAAGAGTGCAACAAGAGAGTAACACATTATTCAATACATCAATTAGTCATGATTAAATCCATCAACAGAGACATCTCCCAGCTATTGTTCCGTGTTTGTGACACCTTTCGAATAGTCGGTAAATTATCGGTAATAGTGGCTCATTCATACTCGCAATCGGACCGTTAGTTGTGACATTAACCGCACAATCCGTGGCCGATGACACAGCGTCATGCCTACCCGCTAGTAACCAGATCAATCAGCCGTGATGAAAACATAATTTCATGCATGATTTGACACCATGCATGGAACGGAGGTTATACGAGTACACTATACAGTCGCATTCCCGATATTTTGCGTTTCTTGCATTTTATGATTTTGCCCTTCGATACATATATTCCACTGCGATGTCTCCGTACTCGACTTACTGCTATTCGATTTACTGATATTTCGATATCTGTAAGTTCTCACCACCTCTAGACATATTATCCCGGTTCTTGGAATTTGATCCTACTTGTTTTCAAAGTCTGTCATGGAATCTAATGCGTGTTATGAGCATGACCATAAAGGGGTAAATTATGCAAGTCTTATGCATGCACATGCACAATACGATGGCGGTAACACCACGGTCGCCACTACTGTTATGTAGTTATTATGCATAATTATTACGTACGTTTGAGGCGGCGGGTCCATCGACGCAGCCCATGCTCCGCTGCGATCTGCTGATCGGCGGCGCTACCGTCCCGTACAAGCAGGCGCTCGATCCTCTCCGTGACCTGACCTGTAGTCGAAGTCGCTGGGTTCCTTTGCTGTAAGCGTTCACCGATAAAAAGCCCTCTGGCCCGTTCCTAGAGCGCCAATTCAAGCAACGGTCTTCAATGGCAGTGATGAGCTTGACTGGCTGAAAGCTGTGTGTCTTGAATCGCAGAGGATCTGTGGCCTGGGGCGGTTTCAGCGTCCCGATGAAGGACAGCACCCAGCTCCGCCCCTCCGTCTGCGCACACAACACGGTCCTTCTCTCCCGAGTCCTATCGTCGAGACCGACGAGCACCACTCCCGAGCGTCGCCGCACCGCGCACCCACTCCGCTCCGCCGCGACGGCCGCCCGTCCGACGGCCCGGCTAGCGGCGACCTGTGCCGACGGCGCCGACGGGGGCACTTGTGTCGCCACCTGGCGGCGGCCGTGGCCGAGCGCACGCTCCGCAGCACAGCCGCGGGCAGCGCCGCCCGCAGCCAGCCAGGCGGAGCACTTTCGCTCCGGTTCGGGTCTGGTTAGCCCGGTGACATTCGTGTCCAGCTCGGAGCCCACGTCATCGAGGAAGGGAGCAGCGGTGCAGAACCAATGCTCAGTGACGTCACAGTCCCTGCCGAGCTCGCCGTCGGAGCCACAGGTGACTGAACTTTCCCCGGTAAGTGCGGGATGCGCTTTCGTCCCCCTCATCGGCCGAGTCAACATGTTCGGCAGATAATGAAATTTTAGATATCGGTAATGCACAAAGCCAGTGTCTCACGAACGATTCGCCGTTTTCCGGGAGTCACTGATTTGCTATAAATAGTTATACGCTCGGCGATTCTACGTTACGGTATTTATACGTCCTAACAAGCTCTGAGATAATAAGGATGTTTTCAGGAGAAGAAACTGCCGCGACAAAAAGGCGTCTTGTCAACCAAGGCCATCGTCTGACGTCTACGTAGTTATCCACAGTCAGACGTCGGCCAGACGGATATGTCCGTGAAGTTGGCGACGTCGCCAGCGACTTTTCCAGCGACGAGCACCGATTTTAGCCAAAACCTCGTCCAAGGTCAATTGGACCATGAGGATCACGAAAATCGAACCCATTCACCCCTAAACCTTGACCTTCAAGGTCAAATTCAAGGTCAAAGGACGGGGAACTGAAAAAGTGCCAGTAAATATTGTCCGATTTTCAAAATTTTGGCACCAAAATGTAGCACGTGCAAAGTTCTAGCCGCACATCGAAAACCATTTTCATCAAGGTCAAACTTCAAGGTCAAAGGACGGGGAACTGAAAAAGTGCCACTAAATATTGTCCGATTTTCACAATTTTGGCACCAAAATGTAGCGCGTGCAAAGTTCTAGCCGCACATCGAAAACCATTTTCATCAAGGTCAAACTTCAAGGTCAAATTCAAGGTCAAAGGACGGGGAACTGAAAAAGTGCCACTAAATATTGTCCGATTTTCAAAATTTTGGCACCAAAATGTAGCGCGTGCAAAGTTCTAGCCGCACATCGAAAACCATTTTCATCAAGGTCAAACTTCAAGGTCAAATTCAAGGTCAAAGGACGGGGAACTGAAAAAGTGCCACTAAATATTGTCCGATTTTCAAAATTTTGGCACCAAAATGTAGCGCGTGCAAAGTTCTAGCCGCACATCGAAAACCATTTTCATCAAGGTCAAACTTCAAGGTCAAATTCAAGGTCAAAGGACGGGGAACTGAAAAAGTGCCACTAAATATTGTCCGATTTTCAAAATTTTGGCACCAAAATGTAGCGCGTGCAAAGTTCTAGCCGCACATCGAAAACCATTTTCATCAAGGTCAAACTTCAAGGTCAAATTCAAGGTCGAAGGACGGGGAACTGAAAAAGTGCCACTAAATATTGTCCGATTTTCACAATTTTGGCACCAAAATGTAGCGCGTGCAAAGTTCTAGCCGCACATCGAAAACCATTTTCATCAAGGTCAAACTTCAAGTTCAAATTCAAGGTCAAAGGACGGGGAACTGAAAAAGTGCCACTAAATATTGTCCGATTTTCACAATTTTGGCACCAAAATGTAGCGCGTGCAAAGTTCTAGCCGCACATCGAAAACCATTTTCATCAAGGTCAAACGTCAAGGTCAAATTCAAGGTCAAAGGACGGGGAACCTTAAAAATGCTAAGTCACCAGCGACTTTTCCATCGACGAGCACCGATTTTAGCCAAAACCTCGTCCAAGGTCAATTGGACCATGAGGATCACGAAAATCGAAACCATTCACCCCTAAACCTTGACCTTCAAGGTCAAATTCAAGGTCAAAGGACGGGGAACTGAAAAAGTGCCACTAAATACCTATTGTCTGATTTTCAAAATTTTGGCACCAAAATGTAGCGCGTGCAAAGTTCAAGCCGCACATCGAAAACCATTTTCATCAAGGTCAAACTTCAAGGTCAAATTCAAGGTCAAAGGACGGGGAACCTTAAAAATGCTACGTCACCAGCGACTTTTCCAGCGACGAGCACCGATTTTAGCCAAAACCTCGTCCAAGGTCAATTGGACCATGAGGATCACGAAAATCGAAACCATTCACCCCTAAACCTTGACCTTCAAGGTCAAATTCAAGGTCAAAGGACGGGGAACTGAAAAAGTGCCACTAAATATTGTCCGATTTTCAAAATTTTGGCACCAAAATGTAGCACGTGCAAAGTTCTAGCCGCACATCGAAAACCATTTTCATCAAGGTCAAACTTCAAGGTCAAATTCAAGGTCAAAGGCTACATTTTGGTGCCAAAATTGTGAAAATCGGACAATATTTAGTGGCACTTTTTCAGTTTCCCGTCCTTTGACCTTGAATTTGACCTTGAAGTTTGACCTTGATGAAAATGGTTTTCGATGTGCGGCTAGAACTTTGCACGCGCTACATTTTGGTGCCAAAATTGTGAAAATCGGACAATATTTAGTGGCACTTTTTCAGTTCCCCGTCCTTTGACCTTGAATTTGACCTTGAAGTTTGACCTTGATGAAAATGGTTTTCGATGTGCGGCTAGAACTGTGCACGCGCTACATTTTGGTGCCAAAATTGTGAAAATCGGACAAAATTTAGTGGCACTTTTTCAGTTCCCCGTCCTTTGACCTTGAATTTGACCTTGAAGTTTGACCTTGATGAAAATGGTTTTCGATGTGCGGCTAGAACGTTGCACGCGCTACATTTTGGTGCCAAAATTTTGAAAATCGGACAATATTTAGTGGCACTTTTTCAGTTCCCCGTCCTTTGACCTTGAATTTGACCTTGAAGGTCAAGGTTTAGGGGTGAATGGTTTCGATTTTCGTGATCCTCATGGTCCAATTGACCTTGGACGAGGTTTTGGCTAAAATCGGTGCTCGTCGCTGGAAAAGTCGCTGGTGACGTGACATTTTTAAGGTTCCCCGTCCTTTGACCTTGAATTTGACCTTGACGTTTGACCTTGATGAAAATGGTTTTCGATGTGCGGCTAAAACTTTGCACGCGCTACATTTTGGTGCCAAAATTGTGAAAATCGGACAATATTTAGTGGCACTTTTTCAGTTCCCCGTTCTTTGACCTTGAATTTGACCTTGAAGTTTGACCTTGATGAAAATGGTTTTCGATGTGCGGCTAGAACTTTGCACGCCCTACATTTTGGTGCCAAAATTTTGAAAATCAGACAATATTTAGTGGCACTTTTTCAGTTCCCCGTCCTTTGACCTTGAATTTGACCTTGAAGGTCAAGGTTTAGGGGTGAATGGTTTCGATTTTCGTGATCCTCATGGTCCAATTGACCTTGGACGAGGTTTTGGCTAAAATCGGTGCTCATCGCTGGAAAAGTCGCTGGTGACGTAGCATTTTTAAGGTTCCCCGTCCTCTGACCTTGAATTTGACCTTGACGTTTGACCTTGATGAAAATGGTTTTCGATGTGCGGCTAGAACTTTGCACGCGCTACATTTTGGTGCCAAAATTGTGAAAATCGGACAATATTTAGTGGCACTTTTTCAGTTCCCCGTCCTTTGACCTTGAATTTGACCTTGAAGTTTGACCTTGATGAAAATGGTTTTCCATGTGCGGCTAGAACTTTGCACGCGCTACATTTTGGTGCCAAAATTTTGAAAATCGGACAATATTTAGTGGCACTTTTTCAGTTCCCCGTCCTTTGACCTTGAATTTGACCTTGAAGGTCAAGGTTTAGGGGTGAATGGTTTCGATTTTCGTGATCCTCATGGTCCAATTGACCTTGGACGAGGTTTTGGCTAAAATCGGTGCTTGTCGCTGGAAAAGTCGCTGGTGACGTGACATTTTTAAGGTTCCCCGTCCTTTGACCTTGAATTTGACCTTGACGTTTGACCTTGATGAAAATGGTTTTCGATGTGCGGCTAAAACTTTGCACGCGCTACATTTTGGTGCCAAAATTGTGAAAATCGGACAAAATTTAGTGGCACTTTTTCAGTTCCCCGTTCTTTGACCTTGAATTTGACCTTGAAGTTTGACCTTGATGAAAATGGTTTTCAATGTGCGGCTAGAACTTTGCACGCGCTACATTTTGGTGCCAAAAATGTGAAAATCGGACAATATTTAGTGGCACTTTTTCAGTTCCCCGTCCTTTGACCTTGAATTTGACCTTGAAGGTCAAGGTTTAGGGGTGAATGGTTTCGATTTTCGTGATCCTCATGGTCCAATTGACCTAGGACGAGGTTTTGGCTAAAATCGGTGCTCGTCGCTGGAAAAGTCGCTGGTGACGTAGCATTTTTAAGGTTCCCCGTCCTTTGACCTTGAATTTGACCTTGAAGTTTGACCTTGATGAAAATGGTTTTCGATGTGCGGCTAGAACTTTGCACGCGCTACATTTTGGTGCCAAAATTTTGAAAATCGGACAATATTTAGTGGCACTTTTTCAGTTCCCCGTCCTTTGACCTTGAATTTGACCTTGAAGTTTGACCTTGATGAAAATGGTTTTCGATGTGCGGCTAGAACTTTGCACGCGCTACATTTTGGTGCCAAAATTTTGAAAATCGGACAATATTTAGTGGCACTTTTTCAGTTCCCCGTCTTTTGACCTTGAATTTGACCTTGAAGTTTGACCTTGATGAAAATGGTTTTCGATGTGCGGCTAGAACTTTGCACGCGCTACATTTTGGTGCCAAAATTGTGAAAATCAGACAATATTTAGTAGCACTTTTTCAGTTCCCCGTCCTTTGACCTTGAATTTGACCTTGAAGTTTGACCTTGATGAAAACGGTTTTCGATGTGCGGCTAGAACTTTGCACGCGCTACATTTTGGTGCCAAAATTTTGAAAATCGGACAATATTTAGTGGCACTTTTTCAGTTCCCCGTCCTTTGACCTTGAATTTGACCTTGAAGTTTGACCTTGATGAAAATGGTTTTCGATGTGCGGCTAGAACTTTGCACGCGCTACATTTTGGTGCTAAAATTTTGAAAATCGGACAATATTTAGTGGCACTTTTTCAGTTCCCCGTCCTTTGACCTTGAATTTGACCTTGAAGTTTGACCTTGATGAAAATGGTTTTCGATGTGCGGCTAGAACTTTGCACGCGCTACATTTTGGTGCCAAAATTTTGAAAATCGGACAATATTTAGTGGCACTTTTTCAGTTCCCCGTCCTTTGACCTTGAATTTGACCTTGAAGGTCAAGGTTTAGGGGTGAATGGTTTCGATTTTCGTGATCCTCATGGTCCAATTGACCTTGGACGAGGTTTTGGCTAAAATCGGTGCTCGTCGCTGGAAAAGTCGCTGGTGACGTAGCATTTTTAAGGTTCCCCGTCCTTTGACCTTGAAGTTTGACCTTGATGAAAATGGTTTTCGATGTGCGGCTAGAACTTTGCACGCGCTACATTTTGGTGCCAAAATTTTGAAAATCAGACAATATTTAGTGGCACTTTTTCAGTTCCCCGTCCTTTGACCTTGAATTTGACCTTGAAGGTCAAGGTTTAGGGGTGAATGGTTTCGATTTTCGTGATCCTCATGGTCCAATTGACCTTGGACGAGGTTTTGGCTAAAATCGGTGCTCGTCGCTGGAAAAGTCGCTGGTGACGTAGCATTTTTAAGGTTCCCCGTCCTTTGACCTTGAATTTGACCTTGACGTTTGACCTTGATGAAAATGGTTTTCGATGTGCGGCTAGAACTTTGCACGCGCCACATTTTGGTGCCAAAATTTTGAAAATCGGACAATATTTAGTGGCACTTTTTCAGTTCCCCGTCCTTTGACCTTGAATTTGACCTTGACGTTTGACCTTGATGAAAATGGTTTTCGATGTGCGGCTAGAACTTTGCACGCGCTACATTTTGGTGCCAAAATTGTGAAAATCGGACAATATTTAGTGGCACTTTTTCAGTTCCCCGTCCTTTGACCTTGAATTTGACCTTGAAGTTTGACCTTGATGAAAATGGTTTTCGATGTGCGGCTAGAACTTTGCACGCGCTACATTTTGGTGCCAAAATTTTGAAAATCGGACAATATTTAGTGGCACTTTTTCAGTTCCCCGTCCTTTGACCTTGAATTTAACCTTGAAGTTTGACCTTGATGAAAATGGTTTTCGATGTGCGGCTAGAACTTTGCACGCGCTACATTTTGGTGCCAAAATTGTGAAAATCGGACAATATTTAGTGGCACTTTTTCAGTTCCCCGTCCTTTGACCTTGAATTTGATCTTGAAGTTTGACCTTGATGAAAATGGTTTTCGATGTGCGGCTAGAACTTTGCACGCGCTACATTTTGGTGCCAAAATTTTGAAAATCGGACAATATTTAGTGGCACTTTTTCAGTTCCCCGTCCTTTGACCTTGAATTTGACCTTGAAGGTCAAGGTTTAGGGGTGAATGGTTTCGATTTTCGTGATCCTCATGGTCCAATTGACCTTGGACGAGGTTTTGGCTAAAATCGGTGCTCGTCGCTGGAAAAGTCGCTGGTGACGTAGCATTTTTAAGGTTCCCCGTCCTTTGACCTTGAATTTGACCTTGACGTTTGACCTTGATGAAAATGGTTTTCGATGTGCGGCTAGAACTTTGCACGCGCTACATTTTGGTGCCAAAATTTTGAAAATCGGACAATATTTAGTGGCACTTTTTCAGTTCCCCGTCCTTTGACCTTGAATTTGACCTTGACGTTTGACCTTGATGAAAATGGTTTTCGATGTGCGGCTAGAACTTTGCACGCGCTACATTTTGGTGCCAAAATTGTGAAAATCGGACAATATTTAGTGGCACTTTTTCAGTTCCCCGTCCTTTGACCTTGAATTTGACCTTGAAGTTTGACCTTGATGAAAATGGTTTTCGATGTGCGGCTAGAACTTTGCACGCGCTACATTTTGGTGCCAAAATTTTGAAAATCGGACAATATTTAGTGGCACTTTTTCAGTTCCCCGTCCTTTGACCTTGAATTTGACCTTGAAGTTTGACCTTGATGAAAATGGTTTTCAATGTGCGGCTAGAACTTTGCACGCGCTACATTTTGGTGCCAAAATTTTGAAAATCGGACAATATTTAGTGGCACTTTTTCAGTTCCCCGTCCTTTGACCTTGAATTTGACCTTGAAGTTTGACCTTGATGAAAATGGTTTTCGATGTGCGGCTAGAACTTTGCACGCGCTACATTTTGGTGCCAAAATTTTGAAAATCGGACAATATTTAGTGGCACTTTTTCAGTTCCCCGTCCTTTGACCTTGAATTTGACCTTGAAGTTTGACCTTGATGAAAATGGTTTTCGATGTGCGGCTAGAACTTTGCACGCGCTACATTTTGGTGCCAATATTGTGAAAATCGGACAAAATTTAGTGGCACTTTTTCAGTTCCCCGTTCTTTGATCTTGAATTTGACCTTAAAGTTTGACCTTGATGAAAATGGTTTTCGATGTGCGGCTAGAACTTTGCACGCGCTACATTTTGGTGCCAAAATTTTGAAAATCGGACAATATTTAGTGGCACTTTTTCAGTTCCCCGTCCTTTGACCTTGAATTTGACCTTGAAGGTCAAGGTTTAGGGGTGAATGGTTTCGACTTTCGTGATCCTCATGGTCCAATTGACCTTGGACGAGGTTTTGGCTAAAATCGGTGCTCGTCGCTGGAAAAGTCGCTGGCGACGTCGCCAACTTCACGGACATCAGACGGATCACGTATAAAGTAGGTACGGCTGCCAGCCGGAGGATGAGGAAACCTGAAACCTCAACTGCTGCAGGGAGAGGAAGCAAAGCTCGCGACCGGGGACGGCTGGGGACAGACAAGCCTCAGGCACTGGGGACGGCTGGGGACGGACAAAGCTAAGCGACCGTCCACTGGAGTACGTAATACGTATTACGTATGTATCATATCCTGCATGGTGAATATGCATGCAATATGCAGTACGCTGTACGCATGCGTGTATGGTGAAACTAGCGTTTAGCGCTTTGTCCTCACCTGTGCAGCGAGTCCGTGCCGTCCATCTGTCGGATGTTCTCATTAACTATCTTCTGCTCGAGCTGGTAGGCAGCCATCTTCGTTTTCTCGACGGAAATTCGGCGTTCCAGACGTTCAGGGAGGAGGAATTCCGGGCATTCTAACAGCTGGAGCAGAAATCCGTACTTCTCTCGCTCCGTCCAGTGAACCGCGCTCTGAAGGACAGAGAGAACCCCGTAGTGAGGAAACAAGGGCACTGCATAATTATTTGCGGTAACCGCCTACCGGTATATTTTGTTTAAAATTTAATTTTGGGGTAATTTTCTAATTTTGGGGTACGGGTCCAACTGGTTCCGATTCCAGCTTCGACCGAGTCTGACTGGTTCTAGAAATGTCCAGACGGGTCTGGTTCGAGTCTGGTTCTAAAAAATTCAGCTTTTGCCGGCACCTCTATTTGGGACCTTGTCCTAACCTCGGAGGTTAGGTCACCTACCGGTGCATCAGAGAGTCAGAGACCTCAACATTGGGAATGTACTTACTAGTTGGGGCATTCCACGTCAAATCGAACAAAAATCGGCTGTTTTGCACCTTACCATCAACGATTTCATTATAAATTTGTGAGCGAGTTCCTGTGTGGCCCCGGACATTACATTGATGTTTTTTTGCACATTCTGACCACAGATCTTCTAAATATAGGGCATCAAATTTTTACAAAATGTTGCATCTTTATATTTTTGAACGACCATAACTTTGGTTGTACTTGTTTGATTTGAATGAAATAAACCTTACTGTTTAGGTTATTTCTTAAGCATTTGTTTAGAATTACATCTACTTAAATATATGACCTTGAAATTTGCTTAACTCTGTTCTTAAGCACAAATATGGAAATAGCAAAAAACACGTCACCTTCGATTTGGCTCATTTTCATGTATTTTATTGCCTACCATATTCTTAACAACCTGTGAAAAAATTAGAGTGGGCCATTCATAAATTTTGAAGAAAATTGCACATATGCAAACGTATGTTAGCACGCGCAGTGGAGGGGGAAGAGCGAATTTCGCCCACCCGTCCTGTTTTTCGCCAATATCTCATAAGATTAATGCGAAATTAATTATGGCTACCTGTCAATAATTGAATTGGACATCTCATCGTGCAAGCAATAAGAAAATCGGTTCACATCTGTTCTAGTAATAGCGGTGTAAAGTGAACATTCTGTCGCCGCAGCGACGCGGCGACTCGGCAGCCGGCGCCGACCGCTACGCGCCGCCTGAATTGTAGACTGTGCCGGGGCGGAACGGAACGGTTCCGTCTTTACATCGCGCTCCCTGCCGCTGATTACGTTCGATTCGCGTCACATTTTGTGAGAAGACTAAGAAATGTACAGGCAATCTTATGGTGAAAGAATTTTGAAAATCGGTTGGTAAACAATTGAAATATGAACGTGTAAACACAAAATTGTGATTGCTGCGTTTCCCGCATCGGCCGAGCCCGCCTCAGCCGGCGACATGTTAAGGTCTGGCTACACTATGCGTTTTCTGCGTGCGTTTTTGCAGGTTTGCGTGTTTTGCGTAATATCGTTCTAGGAAAAAATTATAAACAATATAATTTTTACTTTGGTTATATACAAAAGCTAATATAACTCTTATGTAACTAAAATTTAAGGTGAAAAACATCACAAAAAACGTAATATCGTTCTTTTTTCTAGAACGATATCACGCAAAACACGCAAACACGCAAAAAACGCACGAAGAAAACGCATAGTGTAGCCAGGCCTTTACTCTTATCAGGCCTCTAACTGCCATATTTATTATTGGATTAATTAGAAATTCCCCATACATGCTAAAATAATGTATGTTCTTTCGTATAGTGAAGATCCAAAGACGTGAAGATATCGTTGCGTGATAATGTTTTCGTTGAATGTACTTCATGATGCATTTCCACACGGCTCAAAATTCACCGCAAAATACCGTTTGCCTGAGACACTTTTACTATGGAACGTGAATGCTTGACTACGATGACTATGCATTTCCATTCTCGCAGAGTTTGGGATATCACTAATCAGCAATCATTCATTTCAGAAAGTGTACACAAGCAAGCATGTCTTGACTCTGTCTTTCAAGGTCACGCGCGGTTGCGTGATGTTGATGCATGAAAACGGCGTTTGCCGCGAAAGTTATGAATGGCCCACTCCAATTTTTTCACAGATGGTTAGGAACATTGTGACGGACATAATATGTAAAAATTACCCAAATCGAAGGTGACGTGTTTTTTGCTATTTAAATTTTTGTTTTACTTCAAGGTCAAATGCATTTCAAGGTCACTTCAATTTAATTTTATAAATAAAAATCAAAGCCTTATCAATTGCCTATAAGACCCTGTTAATATCATTTTGATACCAGAAAAGGAACCAGAGTTATAGCCATTTAAAAAATTGATGTGTGGCATTTTTCGCTATATTTGATGACCTATATCTCAGCGATACGTTATCAAATTTCGAAAATATTATACGTAACTCAGTTTTGAACCATGCCCAGTCTGCCTACAAATTTTCAGAAAAATCGAAGGGGATGACGGATTTCGGTGTTTGATTTGACGTGGAATGCCCCAGTTGCCAGTCCCTTAACCCGGCGGCCGCTGGGCCTCCGCGCCACCCGCCGGCCGCTGGGGGGGGGGGCATATAGTTGCCCCCCCCTTTACTTCTGTGGCGCTATCGTCGCAACGCGAAGAGATAGAGAAGCGAAACTTTGCACACACCTTCCTGAATACCTAGCCGAGGTTGTGTCCAAATTTGGTGTCGATCCCATTTGAAATGACGTCACAGTGACGTCATAAGTGAAATTATAGATTTGCGACTCTCATATTCCTCACGATACATCAGATATATGGGACCGAATATAAAGGGTCGATTATTAGTCAGAAACTAGATGGAAGTGTAGTTAGATGTTTTAGGATGACAGCAGGTGCTATCTAGTTCATTTACAGTTGAGTTTCATGCTCAGCGTCATCAGAAACGGTCCATGTCGGAAAACGACAAAACTTTATGACGTCACTGTGACGTCATCTTAGGTGCTACAACCACCAAACTTTCCTCAAACATTGCCTAGGTATTCATTTGAAGCTATGCCAAGTTTCACGTTCGTAGCTCATCAGGTTTCGGAGATATTTCACAAAACGTAAAGGGGGGGGCAACTTTATGCCCCCCCCCCCAGCGGCTCGTGGGTTAACCCGCGCCCTGGTGGGGTCTGTTTATAACGCGACCTGGTGGGGGGGGGCTATTTTTTGCCCCCCCCCCCCCCTCGTATCTCCGAAACTACTGGACGGATCCGCAAAATTCAAACGGCGTTCGATAGCCCTGTCAAATTTGTCGAGGGAAACCAAATTTTATTGACCTCGGGGTCACCGATGACGTCACAGGTCAGGTCAAAGATAAAATGTTTCACCGTTCACGGGGCTTCTAGGGAAAGCGCTATAACACCGAGTAAAACGCATTTTGTCGAAAATCAGCGATAAGACGTCAGTTGTCTAGTACATATGTTGCTATTAGAGGTCACTGGTCATACCAGGTCAGGTCACAGGTCAGGTCACCAAAGGTCACCAAGGGTCACCACATGAACCCAACTTTACTAAGGTTGTGCGATGCATGTTTTATGGCCAGTTTTTCATTTCCAACCCAATGGTGTTGGTTATAAGACCATCAGGTACGGTTTAGGTCACTTTCTGGTGGAGGTCAGGTCAAGGTCAGGTCAAAAAAGGTCAAATTTCAAAGTTGATATTTTTGCATAAAAAGGGTATCGATTCGATGCTGCTCGTCACGGGGAGTCTAATGGTGGTCTTTGTTTTGCACTACGAGGTCTAGAATTGCTAAAAATTGAGTTTGAAAATTTGACGTCATCAATTTTGAACAGTTTTTTCGCTATAACTTCGCCAAAAAAAGAGTTATCAATCTAAAATTTGGTATGTGGATGGAAGGAGGTAAGGACTATCACATATATTCCGGTTTTTGCGAAATTCAAAAAACTTTTTGGATTTTTTGACTATTATATCCCAAAAATCTATTTTTTGATTTTTGGGGGTCAAAATCAAAAAAATTCAAAAATCCGAGATAGCAGTTTTGTAGCCCCGTCAATTCTACAGCTTTTATGTCCTAAACATTTTTCTGTATTTGCAAAGCTATAGGCCTGACAGCTCTTCCCGCGAAACCCTTTTTTGGGTCGAAAACGGCAGAACATGACGTCACTCTGACGTCATTTCCGGCCAACCTATCATAGCTTTTGGAAAAAATTTTTGGTCACAATGTGTAAAATTGATGTCCGGGAGGGTACTGAAAGTTTGGTGACGATCGGCGCAGCGGTTTTGGAGATATATCGAAAAGTCTGGAGGGGGGGCAAAAAATAGCCCCCCCCCCCACCAGGGCGCGGGTTTTAACGGCGTACCTATACGTGCTCTTTTTCCGCAAAGCTATATAGCTTGAATAGGGGCGAAAGCTTGAGGAGGGTCCTAGGCCGCACCAGCGAATCTCTCGGCCTGTAGAGACAAATAGGTCCGGCGAGAAGCGCTATTGAATGCTTGTTTTTGTTTTTGCAAGTGTTGTAGAAAAAAGTATGAGCTAACTCAGCCAGGGTCCTGTTACCAAGTGACCTAACCCGAAGCAAAATTTGAATGCATGCCACAGTTACCCTAAACCGAGTGAACGATGGCATGAAACTTCGGCGATTGACTACAGTGACGGATGCATAAAACGCATAGGTAATGCAGATCTTGATATAAATGACCAAAGGTCAAGGTCAGGTCTGCTGCGCCTTCTTTGGATGTGTAATGGGTTAATGTAGAATAAGTACTGAATCGTAAAATTGCAGCACCCGTGACCCTTAATTATGCTCCTGGGCCCTGATATTTAAATGTCGAATGCTTGAATAAATAAAACGGCAAGTATGTAGACGTTTAACAAACTGTTAGGCGACAGCTCCATGTTCAGCAAAGTATGTCTCCATATTACCGCAGGATTGCTCGTTAATTCGTCAGTTACCCGCATCACGCATGCATCTTCCAACAGACGTGGTTGCAACGCGGAACATACGGCACACTATGGTTATCTTGAAAGTGTTGAAACGGTTTCGGCTGCACGAATACACAGAAGTTTAAGGGCCCTGGAATTTTTTCATGTTTTTTTTTCTCGCAACGAACATGACACAATTATAAACATCGTCTTCGGAAACATCATCTTCGGTGCAGAATAATTGAGGCGAGACAACTCCGTTAGCTAATTACAGTAAATGACTCATAACTCAGCTACTTGTCACCGCTCTCTCAGGCAGACGCGGTTCACTTCAGGTCGGGGGCATGAAGTGAGCCGCATCTTCACGGTGATCGGTGGCGCGTGCACAACTGCACCCGCACGTGCAGAACACACCGACACCGCACATACTGGCCGGGTGACCTCTTTGTTTCCGCCCTGAGAGATTCGGGCTGTTGACCTCTCAGGAGTCATGTCTATTGTCGACACATGTAGGCATTGTATGTAGCACGTGTGCAAGAATCTCCCAATCTAAGCGAATAGTTCGCCTGTTTGAAGTCCCCACGTCAGAAAAATGGCATGAATCGTTCGCCACTTATTCTCATTGTTTTACAGCTGGACATGACTAACACCGCACAACACACCGCCGCGCCGTGTCGACGCGGCGGTGCGGGGCCCACCTGTGTCGGCGTCCGGCCGCCGCCGCCGCGGGCGGACCGCTGTCCCTTGTGGGCGGCGCTCCGAGCCGACAGCTCCGAGGGGCCGGTCATGACGTCACTGCCCGTCGGCCGCCGCCCCTAACGGCACCGGAAGGGGCAGGTGAGCTGGGGAGGGGTGGCGCCGGAAATAGGGGACAGACAGTCCGGCAGCCGCCAATAACTATTGGCGTACAAATATCGAATGTTTCCACTTTTATCGATTTAGATATTGTTGATAATAGTTCCGAAAATATGTTTGGACTGCCAAAACCACGGCAATGTCAGCGATTCGTAGCATACCTAGTAAAAAGGTCGACTTAGTGATTATATGATAACTATTACCTTAAAAATCCGTGCAAGATGACCATACCTATAACTAACTAATATCACTAACAACCAATAAAACATTTTTTCAGTAATAGCGTTCACTTGTCGTTTTTATGAATAGTCATCACAGGTCCGACTTATTTTGACACATCCTGTATGTAAGACAGATTATGATCGAGAGACAGATAACGTGAAGAGGTGCGAGACAATGATGGACAATCAGTCACATCAAGCGACTTTACGGAACCGTTTTACCTTACGACATTAAGCCGAGAGCTTTGCTCTTCAGTTTCCGTCTTACCAGCATCATTTGTCATTGAATGAAAATCATCGGATAACAACTGACGGTAATGTTTCCTTTCTGACGCACCACCAGGAAGATATCGGTCAGCCTTGTCAGCTCCTCAGTATACGGTTCCCACGGAATACATTAGGCATTAGCACTTCCTTCATTCATATCCCTTTTCCTCCAGCTATCAAATTGCGATGGCTTGTCTGCTCTAAGCACTTTAATCAGTAGATTCCCATGGACTAATTGAAGAAACTTTGTTTAATACCTTTCATCTTCAGGTTGTATTTTCCTTATTCCCGTAGTGGGAACATGCAAGACGTCCCGCGCCTATTTTCCCCAGCGCAGGACGGTCGTGGAACGGATAGTTAGTTGTTAGGACTTTTACGCACGCAATAATGATGCTTTACTGCACTCGAATAGAGCAATGCTTAAAACTGAAAGCATGAAACCTGACTGGTTGTTTAGAGACGCATCTCGCTAACTATCGAAATTCTGAATCAATTTGGAAACCGTTCCCGCCTTTTAGTCGGCAAACATAAAGCCGGACTTAAACGTTACGTCCGAATGGGTACTTAGCATCATAATTTCAGCCATGACTTCAGCATCATAATTTTTCTTCAAAACTGAATTCCAGACCAAAAGTTAACAGTTTCATACTGATTTGGAACCAGTGGTAATGAAGTAATTATTTTGACCTTTTCGTTTCTACATAAATACGTTAGATCTTACTACATTCTATTCTCAGCTCGTATAACCACTCGTATTTCATCATGCAAAGGCATTAGGTACTCGTATTTTAGACCAGGTGATAATGCACAAAGCATTACTGCATTTATAAATGCATGAAACTCACAGTCGAGAAACTTGCGAGTCTTTTTGATTTTTCATTGATCGTCTGCATATTCTCAATTTGTATGACCCCGGTCAATGCTCTACTTGTACGGTCTCATATAGCAGGATCTCGTCTTTCTCGCCTACGAAAGTTCAAACGACATGATACGACGTGACACATAATACAAAAATGCGATGCAATATGGGTCCTAGCCCTGCTGTGCGATGTAGTTGACGAGCCAGCACGTGCGGTGCGCATTCTCCCGGAGTATAAACTTCCATAGATATAAAACCGTTTAGGGTTTTTCAGTTCGATTTCAGCATTCCGATTCGACGAATTTCAAGCCAAAGACATGCTTCTATCGTGCATAATTATCTTAAGTACGCTATTTGTAAAAACGGTTAGCCCCATCCGCTCATCTTACCTGTCATTGAGTCGGGACGAGAAGTGGATAGTTCTTCCCTCGCTCGGAACCGTTCCACGTTCACCAGCACAGGTTATCTGCTCTCCGTGGACGAAGTGCTGTTCAGTTCCCGGCGATATCGGGTCTCAGTCCCAGCAGAGCAGGCCCTCGGTTGGCGGCCGGTCGCTGTCTGGCGGCAGGCGACGCGCCGCCGCCGCAGGGTCTGCCCGATGGCCCGTCGGCAGCCGAGAAGTTTGCCGTCGGCGTCGAACCCGGGGCCCTCCAGAAGCCGGCGGACCTCCAGTCGGCGAGCCGGCGGCGTCGGTGCGCCGTGCGCGCCCCCACAGGCCGGCTGCTGGGTGGTTAGTGGCGCTGTCGGACGGGGGTGGTCGCACACCGGGGCACCGGCGGCGGTCCGTGACGCGCCCGCCGGAACCGGCCTGCTGTCGGCGCGGGGTGCACGGCGTCCTCCACACTGCAGCCGGGAGCCGGCGCGCGCCGCGCCGAGCAGCGCAGCCGTGACGGACTCGGCGCAGCGCCGTCCTCCAGTCGCGGCGTGACGTGACGCCATTGTTGGCCAATGCGTCACGGTGGAGCTGCAACCCGATACCAAGTCATGGCGATCACGAAGACAGTGACATGAACAGCGTCACTTGGAACACCTCGGGACAATGTCACAGGAGCAGCAGGCACGGGCCGATCACGCGCATCAGTAGAGATACGGATACAGGTGGGACAGAGCTAGACACCGCTCTTTCGCAGAACCATCGGTCCCGAGAGGACTGGAAGATCTGCTTGTATGTGGAATGTGGATGGGTATGCCTTCGAATTAGCAAAAGTAATTCGAACCAGCGCTGTGCTGGAGGAAGGGGGAAGCGTTTTCACGTCCCCCTCAAGTTTTTTTTTTCGCGAATATATAAAAAGTGGCCCATTTTTGGTACACCTAATAATAATCTTTTCCGCACATGTGAAAATTTCAGACCCGGGTCGTTCAAGGTCAGGTCACCAGGTCACGTCAAGTGACCTTACCTCAAAAAAGTTTAAGGCTCGTTGTAGCTTCACCGGCTAAACGATCGCTTTGAGACTCTGAGCGATTGGTAACAATAACAGTATGGTGTATATCTCAGAATTTTATATAAATATAACTCGGCTTTATCGGACAGTTTCGTGGTCTTTATTGCCACTGCTTCAGCGAAATGCATTGTCACATTTGTCACATTTTCACAAAATTTCAAAATTGGCGATGGGAAGTACACATGCGCCATAAAAATCGCTACCTCTTGTAGGTGATCCAAAGACACAATAACAAAGACACAATTATAAGACAATACCAGAGACACAATCAGGATTATATATACAAAAGCGTGCCTTGTTATTCGCAGCTACGTATAGCAGACGTACAACTACCTTCACACTAGTACAAATGTCGTAAATTGTCGATTCGGTCGTAATAAGTAGTGGGCAAATTTGATAACAATCGAACAACATAAATCATCATGTTACATACAGACGCACACGGATATCGAGCGAAGCCTAAACATAATTGTCAGTCCATGTAGTGCTAGCTAGTAGTGGTGATCAGCGAGTGTAATTTTTCACCTGCTTTTTGTGTTTAATCCCCCCTCCCTTTTGTGTGTGCCGAGGAGACCAACCCATCTTTGTTCCCTTATCCTACGGTATGTGACCCACCCTTTCCATACCTTTTCTAGCCCTACAAATTTAGCGTTGGAAAGATCGTGTCCTCCCCCGTTGAAGTGAGCTGCTACGTCCATATCGTTCCTCTGACATCTGATAGTTGACAAATGGTTTTGAAGTCTCTGGTATAATACACCTCCCGTTTCTCCTACATATATCACACAATCACACACCTCACAGAAAACACCATATACTACGTTCCTAGATCTGCAACCTATCGACTTGTCATATGTGCATGTGTGTGTGCCCCCTGGTCCTTTGATACGTTCCTCTTGTTTGTACATTACTTTACATATTACACAGTTTTTGCCACAGTCTCCCCGGCCTTTCACATCATCTTGTATCAATTTTTTTGTCTTTTTGTGTACTAATATATCCTTGAGATTCGTCCCTCTTTTGTAGGATACAAACATGTCAGCATCAAACACATTTTTTAGCCTTTCAGACCTACACAGAAGACGTTTTTTGTCCCGCAGTATTTTCCCTATGTTCGGTAAGTATACTAAGTATGTTCCCTATGTATGAGACGCAACGAGACGCCAGCAGCAGGAGTTATTCCAATCATCCAAGATGAAGACACAGGATATCGGAGATCTATCCAGATTCGGAATATGGCCAACGATCCATCGGAACAAAGAAAAGTGAAGACAACCACTCTGACTGAAAACGAACACCACGATCCTTCAACGAAGGAACCGACTACGCTCCCGGCGACGGATCCACCCGTGGTACCACAGATGTCTGCGAGCAGGCTACGGAACCTCGCGAACAAGATTTCCGCAGCCAAGTCCCACAAGGAATTTCTGTCGACGTGCAACAAGGAGCAGCTGATACCCAAGGGCTTTCAGCTTAAGTGGTCCAGCCACTACGCGGACAAGCAAGCTACAACCGAGGTCATCAATCAAGCATCGAAAACACTCGTCAAAACGTGCCACCAGCTGGCCAGCAAGAAACTGGAGGCTCTCACACTGGACTTCGAGAGGGGCTGGCGTGAGCTGGAGTCCAGCTTGACAAAGGAGAAGCTGGACCAACTCTCAATCCAGCTGAGTCGTGATAAACATAGGTTAACAACCCGCCTTCAGCGGACTAAGCAGGGTAAACTTGATGCACTCCGGGCAAAGCAACGGCACCAGAAACATTCCGAACGAGCGACTATGTATGTTGAGCCCGTCGCTCAAGGGGATTTTATGACGGGAGTAACCGACGGTGCTGAGCTAGCTGCCGATGGAGCACAGGATGGGGTAGGCGCTGGCGGTCACAGCTTGAGAAGCAGTACAAGCAGCACCGGTCATCCCGCTGCCAGTGGGCAGACCTACCAGCCAGACACTAATAAAGGACATGCTTCACAGGCAGACATAGGACCACAGGACACTTATAGTACCTCCACTGATGATACACAGGGGGATAAGGGGCCTAAGGGCATGGCGACTGGGACTAGGCCATCCAATGCGAAACCAGGTGAAAGAAATGTAAAAGTGGTTAACTTGTCAGATAAAGTTCTGTCACCTGATCAGCTGTCGTTGCTTAGTAAAGGCTTAGGGTTTGTGCCAACGAAAAAACAGCGCTTCACGCATCTGGTTTCAGAGCTTAAAGAATGGGAACGTCTAGTTAGATTAAAAGAATTTTGGTCTAATAACCCTCACAGTAGGGATGAGACTAGTCTGCAGGGTGCAGCGAACACAGGTGGAGGGTACACCACAGAACACGATTTTATGTATAAAAAGTCAAACTGGACACCTGAGAAAGGGAGGGACCCTTGGCTCGATTTATACATAGAAGAGGTGACTAAGAGTGTCCTGGATGGGATTGGCAGTAAGAGGAGTAGTAACCTAAGCAAGGGAGAAGAAAAGGCCCTTACGGATTTGCTAAACGATAACAGTATAGTGATAAGGCCGGCAGACAAGGGATCGGGCATAGTCGTACTGAATGCCAGGGATTACCTAGATCGCCTCCAGGGAGAAGTAGATGATTCGTGTACCTACAAATCAACCGACACGGACCAGACCCAAGTGATATACAAGAAAGTCAAAGTGTTAGCAGACCAACTGTTGAAAAAAGGCTACATAGGTAAATATTTACATAAATATTTGGTTCCGACACGTCCTAGACCTGGGTATCTCCAAGGAAACCCAAAATTGCACAAAGAAGGACATCCCATGCGTGCTATAATAAGCGGGCGGGGTCACGCTACGGCAGGTATCGCTGAACTAGCAGAAAAAGAACTAAATGAGCATGTCATGAGCCAACCTTCCTTTGTGAGGGACAGTACAGATTTCATCAATAAAATTAAGGATATCAAAACGCCCGTTACCACAGGACATCAGCCCTTACTTTTCTGCATGGACGTCAGCAAACTATATCCCAGTGTTCCAAGAACGGAGGGTATAGAAGCTTGCAGGAAAGCTTTAGACTCACGACTCGATCCAGGCATTCCAACGAAAGAAGTAAGTAGAAATGATTGAACTAGTTCTTGATAACAACAACTTTAGCATAGGTAGCTCCAAACATTTCTTGCAAGTTGACGGAACAGCGATAGGGTCCAAACTAGGCAAAAACTATGCATGTACTTACCTTGGCCACTGGGAAAGCATGCTGTTATCAAGCTCAGAACTTCAACCCTTTATTTATTTGCGCTATATAGATGACATTTTCGGGATCTGGCTTCACGGAGAGGATAGTTTAAGAGATTTCCACAGACAGGCGAACAATATACACGAGAAGATTAGCGTGGATCTCAGACTTTCATCGCAATCTATTGATTTTTTGGATGTGCGAGTGAGCATTAAGGACGGTGGTCTCTCCACAGATGTGTACAGTAAGCCTACAGACTCTAAGGCCTACCTCCACTTTTCCTCAGACCACCCTCTGCATGTAAAATCATCAATCCCTTCGAGCTTAGCTATGAGAGCAAAAAGGATATGTGCTTCAAATTCAAGTTACAGAAGGCAGACTCAGGAGATACGTGAAAACCTAGTAAGCAGAGGGTATCCAGTGAGATTAGTTGAAAATGGAGTAAATAGGGTAGAAAACATGGATAGAGGATCGTTGCTAGAGACTAATACCAAAAAAGGTAGGCGAGGGGTACCCCTAATAGTTACGTATTCTAGTCACTTACCGAACATAGGGAAAATACTGCGGGACAAAAAACGTCTTCTGTGTAGGTCTGAAAGGCTAAAAAATGTGTTTGATGCTGACATGTTTGTATCCTACAAAAGAGGGACGAATCTCAAGGATATATTAGTACACAAAAAGACAAAAAAATTGATACAAGATGATGTGAAAGGCCGGGGAGACTGTGGCAAAAACTGTGTAATATGTAAAGTAATGTACAAACAAGAGGAACGTATCAAAGGACCAGGGGGCACACACACATGCACATATGACAAGTCGATAGGTTGCAGATCTAGGAACGTAGTATATGGTGTTTTCTGTGAGGTGTGTGATTGTGTGATATATGTAGGAGAAACGGGAGGTGTATTATACCAGAGACTTCAAAACCATTTGTCAACTATCAGATGTCAGAGGAACGATATGGACGTAGCAGCTCACTTCAACGGGGGAGGACACGATCTTTCCAACGCTAAATTTGTAGGGCTAGAAAAGGTATGGGAAGGGTGGGTCACATACCGTAGGATAAGGGAACAAAGATGGGTTGGTCTCCTCGGCACACACAAAAGGGAGGGGGGATTAAACACAAAAAGCAGGTGAAAAATTACACTCGCTGATCACCACTACTAGCTAGCACTACATGGACTGACAATTATGTTTAGGCTTCGCTCGATATCCGTGTGCGTCTGTATGTAACATGATGATTTATGTTGTTCGATTGTTATCAAATTTGCCCACTACTTATTACGACCGAATCGACAATTTACGACATTTGTACTAGTGTGAAGGTAGTTGTACGTCTGCTATACGTAGCTGCGAATAACAAGGCACGCTTTTGTATATATAATCCTGATTGTGTCTCTGGTATTGTCTTATAATTGTGTCTTTGTTATTGTGTCTTTGGATCACCTACAAGAGGTAGCGATTTTTATGGC